CGTAATTTTTGTTTAAGAATATCTTTCATTATATAAGATGTTGATGATATTTTTAAAATGTATTCAAGTACAGATAATCATTAGTCACTAAAATTATATATATATAAGAAAAAATATTCTATATTTTTATTTATAAGTTTATCCTCTGAAAATTAAGTTTAGTTCCGCCCCTGACTGCACGGACCAAAGTCTCCCTGCCCACGATATCGTCACCAGCGTCTCCATGTACTTCCGCGGTGTCGTCACCGGCTTCATCGTCTGCAGGAAGCTGCGAACGGAGAATTTATACGTTTGTTTGATTTAATGGTGAACAATTCTTTTTTATTGTATTTAAAAGAAAATTAATGATGATATGACAATAAATAAATAACATGTTAAATGCCTAATTACTTTTATTATTGTAATAACTAACTAAATAATTGTTCACGTCTTATCAAATCTTAATTATTAGAACTAGACAACGGCACATGCAAATAACAAAGTCATACTAATGCGCTATGTCAAAATTAATGAAGAAATTGACTAAATATGGGAATATTATGAATTTTGAATGGTTTTTCTATCCTCAAAATAATTTAATAATTTTGTAATGAATTTGGCCAAATTTTAATCAAAGTTTCGGACTCGATTTTTTTTCTAAAACTAAATATTTCATTAAAAGTAATTTTTTTAATGTTTTTAAAAAAATTTTGTAATACAAAATTAATGTGAAAAGCAGTAAGAGAACTATCCGAACAAAGCCTTAGAGCATCTCCAACCGAACGTCAAACGTGAGTATGGCGTCGTTCAGTCGCGTGAAAGGGGAGAAGGATCGTTACCTTCGCCTAAGCATCTAAAATGGAGTTCGATTGGAGCAGATTCACGGCATTTTAAAGTTTTGCTGTATTTTGCCTTGAAAAATCGCGTTCTCGGTTGGAGATGCCCTTAGTGAATCAGCTCAAGCTGAGCTTGAATGATATGAATTCAAGCTGGTCTGTATCTTGATTAGTTGTTGGAAATAAAAATATTAGTATGTTTATATGGGTATATTATGAGTTTTTTTTTTTTGGGACATTTAGGCCATTTAAGGCTAACTCACACACACAATGCAAACACATGGACTCGAACCTTGAACCTCTTAGTTGGAAGTCTAAGCTCTCAACCAATAGGCCAAGGGGAGTTGTGTGGTATATTATGAGTTAATAGCGAGGATTTGTTTCGGTTTAACAAATTAGTAGGCCAGAAATGAAAAAGCTTGAATTATAGGAATTAATGTTATTTCATATCAAGCCTAAAAGCTTGGCTTCCGAATCAGTTTTTATTCTTTTATTTCCTCACCAAAGGTAAATAAAAAATTTAAGCAAGATTTCATTTTTATTAAACTAATTAAGGCTTTATTTGAGATAACTTTCTTACTGCTTTCTAAAACAGTTTTCTAACTAAAAAAATTCAGTGCAATAAATTTTTGTATCAAAACACTTCTTTAGAAAGCAATAAAAAGGCAACTCAAGACAAAACATAAGTTAGGTTTCGTTTTAGACAGCTTTTTTACTTTTTTCTAAAATGACTTTTTAGTATAAAAGTTTTTTATTCAATACCTTTCTCATTACTTAAAAGAAGCACTATATCTAAAATACCTTTCTCATTACTTCTTTTTTCTTTTTTAACGGGGTATCCACCCACTGCCGCCTCCAAAAAGAAACTTAGTAGCGTGACTAATCCTCAGCTGATCTAGAAGAGGCACCCACCCTAAAAACCTCTTGACCCGCACTTGAAGAGTTCCCAACCATATTATCAATAATAAAGTTTAACACTTGTAATTACCATAACTATAACAATCTTATCTTATTTTTAAATATTAATACTATATTTATTTTATTCATCCGGTTGAAATGCAATGTTGATATCATCAGCTGAATGAATTCGAAGTAGCTCTCATCAAGCTCTATTCTAATGATAGATCAACCTTCCCTGTTAGTTTCATGGCCAGCTAGGTAGGAATTGTTGGAGGATGTGCCAAAGCATCCATTTTACTGGCAAACAAAGTTCTCATTTTCTCCCCTTTTCCATCTGCCACTTCGCATGCGTGGACAGCTACATTGACAACTTCACTTTCTCGTTTGTGCTCAAGAAAGTTGCTTGGAATTAATAATGGATGATTTCTTTTGATCTTACTTAGGTTTTTGAGGTGGATGTTAAGAAATTTGTAACTATTAATCATCCTCATCTACACCAAATACAAAAATGATTCAAATGTTAACTAACTTGTAACTAAATAAGCATCTATGCTAACAAGAATTGGTTCCTCCTCGATATCCCTATTATTATTAGGATTAACTATTTTGTGCAGACGTCAAACGCAATCCGGAAACTAACCAAAATGTGTCACGTCATCTCTTGCTCAGTATCACGGCTCGGTACTGCTCGGTACTGTTACTCTATGCTGCTGACATGACACATTATAGTTGATATCCGAATGACATTCTGCGTCCAGTCTCCACACAAAATAATTTCTCCCCTATTAGACTCAGGCATTTTACTCCATTGACGACAACCTTACCATTAACATCAAACTTAGAAGCAAGACATTGAAAAAATCCAAGTAAGAAAGTTGGGACAACTTCAGGTTAGGAAATACAAGCGAGACTATTGACAGCAATGTGGGTGGCAATCGTCACCATTACCTCCTTAAGCTTATGCCTCGGTGACCATGAAGATAGCACTCATCCATTCAACCACAAAGTGAGTTCTTATGTATTTCACAAAAAATAAAATCACAGGAGAGAATTTTTGATTGACAGGAACTTGAGGATTTTGGCTCAAAATAAATCTAATGATTTCTAAATCTATCCTTATATAATATTCATAATCTTCTTACTTTTAGTTCTTCTCTCTTCGGTTCACTTGGCTTTCTTGATAAAGAATTCTTTCTCAAAAAGTCCAGCATGAACTTACAGCAGATAGGACGTCAAATAAAGAACATCCCTGCTTTTTTTTTTTTCCTAAGATTGAGAATCCAAGTTCTGAAGTAGCAATCGTCCGTCAGAGACGAAGATCACTCTTATTGAAGCTGGAAAGCTTCACTTTCAGACTTAACAGCTTTGAATATAGAAGATGGAACAAAAGGACTAGCAGTAGCATGCTGAACTATTGCAGTTCAAAAATATAAAAGACTACTACATCTTTATTTGCTTGAATTATGGTGCTAGCACAAGCATGCTTACATAAGGTTGGAGAAGAGATAAATTACGAAAAAAACAGTTAAAAAGAATATCCTCGATAATGAGGGTGTTGCAAAGTTATAATAACAAATTCTATAAATTCTTAAAATAAATATTAAACACATAATATAATGTTGATATGATAATCTCTTTTAAACATAATAAATCTAATGACTCTAATATACCCCTACAAACTAAAGATGTGACGCAAGAAGCATTGAGAGTTTGTATGGTGCAATAACCAGGAGATCTAAGCTGAGAGTTATTTATAAGTTTTTCAAAATTATCGATCTAAATGATGCTAGAACGAGATTTTCTCTAGAAAATCAAGTGCAATCGAGAGGGATCATCACAAATGAGAGGATTGTCGCAAGAAATAGATATTTCAACAAAGTCGTCACGAAAGGAAGGAACGTCACAAAAAATAGGATCATCGTGGGAAACGAATTCTTTGTGCGTTACGGGAGACGAGATTGTCATAAGAAAATCAAGTGCAACCAGGTGATCGTCACAAAAGAGAGAGTTGTCGCGAGAAATAGATATTTCAACTAAGTCGTCACGGAAGGAGGAAACGTCACAAGAAATAAGTTTATCGTGGGAAATGAATTCTTTGTGTGTTACGAGAGACAAGATTGTCATAAGAGAAATAGACGAAGCTAAAGGTATCATATCTCAGAAACATCAAGGGGAAGCATTATATGCCAAGCATCGAGGAGGCGATACTCTAGCTGGAGAGCAAACACAATCTACATGAAGACAATGACTTGGAATTTGACTCTAATACCATGATAAAAAATATAAACGACTATGGGATTAAATTTTGATGCTAATACAAATATGCGAATATAAAGACGACGACAACAACAACAACAACAAGACTTCGAATCTGACTCTAATATCATGATTGAAAATATAAATGACTATGTGATTAAATTTTGATGCTAATATAAATATGGCAATATAGAATAAAAGAAAATAACCTTAATAATAATGATATATTACAATAATAAATACTCCATATTCTAACAATAAATATTAAATACATGTGAACATATTGATATCTAAACCTCTTTAATACATAATAACTATAACAATAAGCACATTTTCTAACCCTTATTTACATGCCTAAATCATCTAAATTCATTTATAACTACTGAGAAGCAAAATTTGCCTTGTCCTAAAAAGGTGAATAGTGTTGTACATATGGCAAGGCAAAACTGCCAATAAACTACTCCGTATGGCTAAATAGATGAAAACTTCTTGAGCATGAGATGTAAGAACATAACAAAATGGGAAAGTCAAGTAATATGGACCAAAAAGATCCACCCGACTCGAATATCACCACAACACTTAACAGTAAGAAAATCTCACTAGACACCTTCAAGCAGAACCCAAGGATTCTTTCGAGCAGATTCTCTAGGAGCTTTATCAAAGAAATAGTATCAAATGAATATTCGTACAAGCATGTTGGCTAAGAAGACAAAGAAGGGGATCTGACTCTTTCTCCTACAAGACTAGCTTTTCTCCCCCCTTGACTTCTTTGTCTCCTACATGAAGCCCACAAAGCAGTTCCTTTTTCCCTCCTACATGAAGCCCACAAAGCAGTCCCTAAATAGTAGGAAAGAAATCACAAATGAGATCACCTGCTATCCAATTGACTTATATATCCTTTTGTCTTATAAGAGGTTCAGGGGTTTAGATCATTTCAAAAAATACACCATAAATGAGATAAAAACTTATTGAAATAAACAATACATTACATTGCCATCACCGACAACACTGAGACTCTGATGGAAGGAACTATGTCTCTAGCTTGCAAGGTGGTTCCTCTATTCTCTTGAAAGATCCCTCGCAGTAGTTGCTAATATCAAAATTGGTAACAGCATGCACGCCTCGCAGCTCAATTGCCGCAATGTCATAAGCCTCAGCAGCTTCTTCCTCTGTACCTGAATAAACCCAAAAAATGCAGCAGAAACCTAAAGAATGATTTCTTTATTATTATAATAAGAGTGAGAGAATATAAGCAAATAAACTCTCACCAAAAGTTCCAAGATAAATGTCTTTGACATCCCTGCTCTCACCCACCCGACCAATTCGAGCCTGCCACTTGCCATCTTTCCGTCTTACATGTTGAATACAAACCATAAGGAATTCCAATTACACCATGCAAAAATAAATTTTTATGCAATATGATAAAGTGCAGGAATAATTTAGGTTTCGTTTGGGACAACTTTCTTGCTGCTGCTTAAAATAACTTTTTAGTACAAAAATTTTAATTTTTGTACTAAAAAACAGCTTTAAGAAGCAGTAAGAAAACTGTCCCAAATGAAACCTTAATCATTTCATAAAAGATAACCAAAGGAAAAGTAACAACCTTGTCACTCCTCTGTAAGCAGAAGCACCTCTCGAGAAACAACTACTTTTCCTTGACAAGCAGGATCACCACAGAAAGATAAGACATTAATTTCATGAATTATGTGGTTGAACTTAACAAACTTATTCAAAGTGTAAACCTTTGGATATACCTTTTTACATGAGCGACATACTCATCTTGAGTCATGGTTTTCATAATCTCAAGTTCATCCTCGTATTCAGAGACCTGGAAATCCAACAAAAATTTGTAAATAATAAATAAAAAAAAAGGTTCAAAATGAGATCATTTAAATGATCATACAGGGAAGTTTAGCTTGGTTGTTTGGCTTGGACCCCAATATTTCAGAACAGCAAGATCATGTGCCCTAGCTGCCTTCTCCTCAGATTCATAGCTGCCTGCAGAAAATCCGATGAACGGTTTAATTCGTCAGAATCTGCACAAAAAATATGAATCAAAATTAGTCTTTTGACACTTACCCAAATAAACTGATGCGACACCACAGCAGCAAGGCCACCAGTCGCATTCATGTTGCAGATCAAGGGGAAAGACGTGATTAAGTATATTATTAAGCAAACAATTAGAATGATACAATATTTACTGATTGAGATGAAAGACCGAATTCAAATCAGGCAACTACAATAAAGTGGATTACAAATTCGTCATGACAAATACCTAAAAGGGATAAGCTGCATTTTTTTCTGTGATTTCCTGTGGGCTCAATAATCATTTCATTCCATTGATGTTTATTCATTAGGTTCCAGCTAATTCAAAGTGAGCTATTGGACCCTTATGGACTCCTAGTCCTAGCCCTTAGCCTAATAGGCTAGTCTGACCAAGCTCAAACATAACCTACTCAAAGTGGACCTAACAAGACTCCTAGCCTAATTGATTTAGCTAGATCCTAGTGAACTTAATTAGCCTACCCGAGACCGTCCTTAGGACTCAACTCAAGGCTAGATGATTGACTAAACCCAATGTAGATTTAATTAATATAATTAAGATTCAATTGATAAAATTATGCCCAAATTGATTGGAACCCAACTCTCTAAGGCCTAACCCAAGGTTTGGATGAATAGACTTAAACTAACCTAGGTTAATTTGACCTAAATTATGCCCAATTAACTAATTGAGCCAATTGGTGCTAATTGACCTACTCCAACTCCAATTCTAATTGATTGAGTCAATAGCTTTCCTAGAACTTAACTAAATACAGCACACAAACAACCCAACTATGTTGCACGGATACTCCTATTTACGAGGCATGCTGTATCCGACACGTGTCGGATACGGATACGCCTCCGATACGGCACGGATACATGTCGGATACGACTTTGCCGTGTCCGATTAAAATATTATTTAAATTTGACCGGACATGCGTATCGGATACGCGTGACCTATTAAAAAAAATGGAGCCGCAATTTGCCCTATTCATTTCAGCTATCTGCTTTTGCGGCTTAAACATTTCGGTGAGCTAAGCTTTTCATTTCCGCACAGGTGTTCGTCTTCTTCATTATAGTCGAAGGAGCGGCTCAACGATGTGAGCATAGAAGCGGATAGGATCATCCTTCGTCGACAAAGAAGCTTGACGACGCGAGCATTAAAGCCGACAGGATCATCCTTTGTCAACGGAGCGACTCGACGACACAAACAGTGAAGGCGACATGAGCAATGAAGATTCGTTTTCTTCGTGAAGGTTCATTTTCTTTGTTCTTTATTTTCTTCATTCTTCGTCAACGCAGCGACTCGATATTGCTCGGTACTGGAACTCAGTACCGCTCAGTACCGGAACTCGGTACCGCTCAGTACATCTCAGCAATGCTCGGTACCATGCTCAGTATCAATGCTCGATACCGCTCGGTACAGAGTGGTACCGAATGGTACCAAGCGACACCGAGAAGGTAGAGAAAGCATTAAATCAACTCTTACAATAATAATTTGTTCCGGGGGCAATCCCCGCAGGAGCGCTGCCCCTTGACCCCGCGACCTGACCGGTCAGGTCGAACCCCGCCAAGGGGTAGCGCCACCTTGGGCCCCCGGCATAGTCGCAACATGTCTACACTTTTACTTAAAATTTTTCTTGTTTCAAATTCATGTGGTTTAATTTGTGTCGATCATTCGTAGGATAATGAGCTCTAGTGGTGTAGGAATTGGGTCTGATGATGGTCCATCAGAGACCAATATTGAAGATAACAAACCTCTATTGGGTTATGTGACAAAAATAGGTAAAACGTCATAAGGAGGAGACAATATTGCATTCAAATGTAATTTTTTTAATGCCACATATAAATGATCATATTATAGAGTGAAAGCTCATTTGTTGAAGATAGTGGTCATGGAATTAAAGTACGCCCGAATATAAGCTCATCAAAAATGATTGAATTACAAAGAAAAATCAGTGAAGCTGAGCAAATGAGTAAAAAGGAGCTTCCAAAACATATTCCACTTCGAAGCACTCATGCTTCATATCATTCATCATCTTCTTCAATTAGAAGTGATAACAGTACTGTAAACAAATGACCTTTCCGGATGGAGGGGTTTGAACCAAAAAGAAGAAAACATGTTATAAATAGTGCTTTGGAGAAAGCATTTATTTTACAAATGAGATAACAACTAGATGGAGAAATAGCTAGAATGTTTTACTCAGCTGGACTTTCTTTTAACTTAGCATGGAATCCACATTACAAGAATACATTTACCTACACATGCAATAATAATCTTGCAGGATACATGCCACCATAATATAATGTCATTGGAACGAAGTTGTTGCAAAGAGAGAGAGAGATAATATTGAGAAGTTGTTCGAGACTACTAGAGGAGTTTGGAAGAAAAAAGGAGTTACTTTGGTTGTGATGGGTGGACAGATCCACAAAGAAGGCCACTTGTAAACTTCATGGATGTAACAGAGAGCTATCATATGTTTATCAAAGTTATAAACTGTGAAGGACAATACAAGGATAAGTTTTTCATTTCTAATTTAATCAAAGAAGTTATCATGATGGTGGAGCCTTCAAACATCATTCAGATTATTACTGATAATACACCTGTTTGTAGAGCTGCAGGTATACATGTAAAGCAAGTCTATCCTCATATTTTCTGGACATCATGTTGTTGTGCATACACTTAATCTTGTCTTGAAGAATATTTGTGCAGCTAAGAATACCGAGCCAAACAAAATCACCTATAATGAATGCCATTGGATCACAGTGATTGCTGGAGATGCAGTTGTAATTAAGAATTTTATTATGAATCACTCCATGAGACTCTTTATGTTCAATGATTTCTCTAATTTGAAGATACTTGCAGTTGCTGAAACTCGGTTTGTCTCAGTTATAATGATGTTAAGAAGATTCAAAAAAATAAAAAATGCTCTTCAAGCTATGGTGATCAATGACAAATGATCTTGTTATAGGGAAGATGATGTTAGAAAGGTTATGTATTTAAAGGAGAAGCTTTTAGATGATTTATGATAGGATGAGATTGAATACATCATAAATTTCACATATCCAATTAATGAGATATTGAGAGTAGCTGATACGGATAAGTCTTGTTTACATCTCATTTATGAGATGTTGGATTTAATGTTAGTCAAAGTAAAAGAAATTATATATAGACATGAGAAAAAGGCACTTCACGAAGACTCAAGTTTCTGGGATATTATTTATATTATTCTAAATTCTAAAAGATAAGTTGAGCAAAAGTAATACACCTTTACATTGTTTGGCTCACTCACTAAATCTCAAGTAAATTTCAATATTTTTTCATTATTAATTCAAAATTTGTTATTTAGTAATTTCAACATTTTTTTTATTATTTTATTTTAATGTTATTTGAAGATATTCAACTAAAGAATAACTTCAAGAGGATCCTCAAAGAGTTTCTCCACAGAAAGATTTAGAAATTTCAAATATGAGGAAGACGTATTTAAAGCGTTATTTTTCAAATGAGGAGAAGAAGTGTCAATATTGGGTTTGCTAAATTTTTTGGTTATTTAGAAGACTTTGATGACTAAGAGTCATTGCGTGATAGGTGTATAATTGAACCGAAAATGTGGTTGATTATACATTGAGCTTTAGCACCTCTACTTCAAATAATCGCCGTAAAATTGCTTGGCCAAGTTTCATCCTCATCTTGTTGTGAAAGAAATTGGAGCACATAATCGTTCATCCAATCAATGAAGAGAAATAAAATTACTCCACAACGAGCTGAAGATTTAGTTTATGTGCATACAAACCTTCGGCTTCTATCAAAGAAAACACCAATTTATATAGAAGGAGACAACAAGATGTGGGATGTTGCTGGAGATGGATTTGAATCTCTTGAGGATATGGGAATATTAGAAATTGCTAATCTTTCAATTGATGAGCCTGAATTGGAAGCTATGATATTTATTGAAGATGATATAGAAATTCAAAGACAAATCATTGAAGAAGCTAATCCTAACATTTCTTCTATTTAATAGTTGAAACTTCATGTGCTGGACAATTTATATTTTATTTTTGTTGTTGTACTAGACATTTAAATATTTAATACTTACTTTTATTTTCATATTATAAGATATACTGCTACAAATAATGTTGCTTTCAATTTTTTTTGTCATTTCAAATATTACGCTTTGATTGATTTCTTAACTTTTATCTATGATTTATATGTTATAATGTCGTATCCGCGCCGTATTTGTATACTGTATTTTTAAGAATTGGCGTGTCCCGTATCCGTATCGTGTCATATCCGTGTCGTCGTATATGTATCAGTGCAACATAGCAACCCAAATTGTACCTAAAACCCTTAATAATATCCACGAAACCCCAATTAAAATAATCCAATCCTTCAGCTCATTGGCACAACAATGCAACAATTCCTAATATCAATCAAAATAATTGGAGTGCCCTAGCTCCACAGCTCCTGCAAGCCCAAGGCATGATCAACCCAAGATCCTTAGACTTGCTAAATTACCCAACCAAAGCCTTCAACATGGATCATGGACCATTTAGATTGAACTAGAGACACCCGATGGTACACCTAATCCTCTGATTTGGTCTGACCAACCTCTAATTGCTCCTTGGACTTGAGACCTTCATCGTAAATCCAACTTGCAATTGGCACCAACCCCTAAACCTTAGGCTATATGAACCTCCAGAAACTTAATTCACAAGTTTTTGACCTCGATTTAATCATCCATAAGTTCTTTCATAAGCTCTTGACGACCTTCTAGACACCCTCCCCAGAAGCCCCTATCCACGAAGCAGCAACAGTCGAGGTGGCAACCCAAGCTACACTAAGCAAATTGAAGGTTATTGGTGTCTTAACCAACACCAAATGAAGCTCCCCAACCCATTCAGCAAGCTAATCAAAGCCCTAGCTGAAGTATTCCTCCTAAAGCTTAAGCTTGATTACTTTAATGACTTGCACACAACAAGCCACAACCAATAAAACTAGGATAACCCTCTTTTAGAGAGAGCTTAATAATTTTGAGTCCTAAATCACT